TATATTTAACTTAAAATAATATATAAATTCATTTTCATAAGTTTTTCAAAATTTTAATTATTATGGTGTAATGTTTCCATCAATTTTATCCTTCTAAATTAAACTATTGATTGTCATCCTTAGTATAATAAGAAATAATAACAATAATAACATACAACAAATGACAGTAAATATATTTTTTCATATTTCATCCATTTTAAGTGTTATTTTTTATTGAAATTGAAAAGATACATAGATGTTGTATGAGAGGACCCAAAAAAATGTGTCATACTCATACGGTACATCAGACACTAGTATACTAAAAGGATGAAACATAGATAAAACATAAAAGATAAAACTGACAGAAAATATGCTGCTAGGCACGAGTCAGCTTGGTCTTGTCTTTGCCTCTGGTTCTAGAAGCGGAGACAGCTAACAAATTGCTGAGTGTCGTTCCATTACCTGAAGTTATTAGAGTATCATCCATTAAGTTCCCAAGCTAGTGTGTGCCTCCATTCTTCTTTTTCTTTCTAGATGTGTATACTTGTAGAAGAGAATGAGCTCTCAGCTCCTGACTAGCAGTAACAGCATTCTGATTCTCAAGAGATAGTAAGCACTTCTCTTCAACACCTGATGCATCCTGGGGATGTGGAGCTTCAATACTATCCTGATTATCATACCCAAGTAAATCATATGCCAATATATCAGTCGGAAGAACAGAGGCAATATTGTCTTCGGTAGTGGGAGGGGGAGGTGACATCGTGTCAACCGGTGTTTCAATAGTCTATGGAATGCACTCAGAAGTGGTGGAGGGACATGTATGAGGTGGGGCAGATCTATAAGCGTTTTTACTTGAAGGTTTTAAATTCGGATGCAACTGATAACATTGAGAAGGAGAATGTCCAAACATACGACAGTGAATACAATAAAGTGGTAACTGTTTAAGTTCTGCTTGCTGCCAAAATCTCTGATGTTGTGTTAAGTCCTGCTTGCTGCCAAAATCTCTGATGTTGTGTGTCAATCCATATTTCTCAAGAAAAAGATAAAGTAATATCCATTTCTATCAAAATTCTGGCTTCTGAAGGCCGAGTCAGATTCACTGTAGGCGTGTCAGCTTTGAGGGGTTTACCGTATACCATCGCTAAAGCGAAGAGAAGCTCTTGATAAAAAAGGTGGATCTTCAAACCTGGGAAGCGCAACCAAACAGGAATGGTAGAAGGTTCAGTACGAGGGTCAAAATCCACCGTCCATTTAAAACCATCATCACCTGGTTTTCTATTCGAAGAATTTTTCTCGCAAACAAATGGGTGTAGTCTTCATCATTTGATAATTGAATAAGAATGTGAAGACTATCCAATTTACCGATCTTCCAACCTCCTTTCAGCTTCATTTGCTCAAAGCCCTTTCGAATTAGCTCAAGTTTAAGGTTTTCATAAAAATACTTACCTACTAAGAACAATCGGCAGGGCGCAGCTAGGGTGGAGATCTCTGTCTCAGTGAGAAAGATTGCAGGTTTGTCGTATTTACGGAAAGTTTTTTTGAGAAATCTGGTTTAAATGCCAAGAGCAAAATTGTCGTGATATCATTACGGAAACATATTCGAAAGAGGGGCGGAGACGGGGTTATCACTGGCGAGGGAGGAAGACGAAGGAGCGAGACGCGAGGGAGGAAGACGAAGGAGGAAGACACGATGCGATCTGTCAGCTTCGAACAGAGGCGACGAGATGCGATCCATCGGCTCCGAAAGAGATGACGAGATGTGATCTGCCGGCTTCGAACAGAGACGACGAGACGCGAGGCTTTGCATCGGCTCCGAAAGAGCTGACGAGATGCGATCTGTCGGCTTCGAACAGAGACGGAGAGAAGTCGCGAGCCGACGATGACGGAGAGACGACGTCGGAGAAATGATCTTCGATAAGGGTTGCTAGGGTCCGACATGGGTCGAAACCCTAGCAGAGCCGAGCGTGGGAGACAACATTTTTATTGTGTACATATATAATGTGCATATACATATCTTAAAGAGATTCAACAGCCACAAGGGAAGGGAAGAGACAAGTAGGGGCCCACTAGGAGCAACCCAAGGGTTCATCTGTTGGTTGCTCGACTCATGCTAGCTAGGTGACAACTAACCCTCACATTAGGCAATAACTAGTAGCTTATTCAAAGGATATCCCGGGCAAATTCCCGCACGACTAATTCAACAGGATTCACCGCTCAGACCAAAAAAACAATTACGATCTCTTGGACATTTGACCGGTGGCTCACATTATTCAACCGGCCCCCAAAAACAATGGTCGCGGATATTGTACACTAGGCCAGACGCATTTTCAATCTCCCAGCCTTCTTATTGCCTATTATCAAAATACCCTATATTGTTCCTACTTTGTTTGGGATAAAGATGTAATTCATGGTCGTTTTATTTATAAATAAGAGCTCATTTCATGAATAAAAATAATTCAATTTTACTCTTCATTAATGCGTTCTCTCTACTTTTCTCCTCTTTAACACTCTATTCTATGAGTGTCTCCTTACAATTTCGGATTCAACATTTATATAGCATGTGTTCTATCTTCATTTCTCATACACACTAGAATATAGAAACTGATTGGGTCGATTACCTTATTTCTTAATTTCAATAGGAAGTAGCAATAAATAGACAATACCATCTCGTATGTATCACTGTCATGCTCCTTTACTCTCTTCAAGCTCAAGAACCAAGCCCGTTGGAATTATAAGATAAAACTCTTAGGGGGTATTTGGTAGCCGAATTTAGTAAATGTATTTAATGTAAATCCAAACAAACACAAAAAAATGTGAAATTTAGATCCTGCACTGTTAAATCAAATATTTGGTGGTTCCATCTAATTTTCAATGTAAATCCAGATTTATTCACAAACAGATTTAAGAGATTTTGCTCACGAGCATTTCTCCATCAAGATGTGAATTTGATAAATCCAGATTTATCAGATTTACTAAATCCTACTTAATATAAGATCGGGAAGAAGCCAAACACTGCCTTACACGTTTTACTCCTGCTCAAGTTCAAAATTGATATCCATTCTGAAAGGGAATTGATGATCCAATTCTAACAAAAGAAACTTGCGCACAACTCCTACATTTAAAGGGTAAACATACTACAAAAGGAATAAAAATACAAATAAGCTCCAGCAATTTGCTTTATGTGCTGCATCAGCACATTCCTGCGCAATAGCAATCTGTAACAAACTCCGAAATAACTAAAAATTGCAGGATAGTTGCTTTAAATGGCGAACTGGCAGTTCATTATTTTCATGGAACAGATCTTGTAATTATGATTTGAAATAGCTCCGCAGTGCATCGGTGCTTTGGCTTCGCCTCATGGCTTCACTGAGTAGCTTCTTGCCCGAACCCCGATTATTTAGTTTAGATGCAGCAGGAGGCAGCCGGTCCTTGGTCAACTTCATCAGCATCCCCTCAGCAGAACTCTGCCTTCCATGGCTTGCTGCCAACTTGTGTGGACCTGAACCGATGGATGCCTTCTTCGGAAGTTTGTGCTCAGCTCTGATAACTCTATCAAAGTGAGAAGAAGCAGCAGCAAAGTTGCTACGGCCTGATACTTCTTTTGACCCCTTTCTAATGGTCTGCTTATTGTAGCAAACAAGATTAGGAAGAAGACCAAGAAGGAACTTCTTTAGCTGTTCATCTCCAACGTTTATCAGAGCTGGATTTCCTTCAATATTTATTACTTTTATGGAGCTGTAATTAGCAGCTAGCTGACCAAGGCCCTTAGCAGTAGAGATTTTATTGAACCGCAAGTCAATGATGCTCAGTTTGGCGAGGCGGTGAAGGCCTTCAATCTCGCTGATCTTATTACCGGCTATATATAGCTCCTTAAGGGAGGTACAGGAAGACAAACCTTGCATGAAAAGATTTTCAGAAAGATAGGAAAAAGTAAAAAAAAAGCAAACTAAAAGGAAGAAAGCAATAGAAAATCAGCTTTGCAGTTATAGTGCATATTTACCGGTTTATAATGTGGAAACAGAAAGACAACATAATATGATTTTCACTAAATGTCATGACATGCGATCATTACAGGATCATGAGGAAAATATGTCAATTGCTTCATGTGCTGCTAAGATTGTCATATTGTGGAATGAAAAAAAAATTGTAAAATAAATCAAGGGAAGCCTTTCTATGACTAAAAAAAATTAGTTAAAAAGGGAAAGGTAAATATTAATCTTAACTGCATGATTTATTCATAATCTATATCTACCAACTAATAGATGAATAAGAACTAGCCAGTCTCAACACAGCTTGAACCTGATGATAACTAGGAAGAGCAGACAATAGATACAAGCAAAGAGATATGCTTCCCAACGGTGATTTTAATCAGTTCATTCACCAAAAAATGTGAAAAGAATTATGTAAAATAACCAATAAACTAAAGGCTATAATGAAGTTTAACGTAGAAGATCACAGAGCAAAATAGCTACAGAAAGCAAACAGCAACAACAAAATAAGATAAAAATGTGTATCAACGATATAATACAATACCATGGCCGATTTTAGCTATTCGGTTATAGCTAAGGTCCAATACACGAAGGTGTGATAGATCACGGAGTCCTTCAATGGAGGATATGTTGTTCTTTGACAAGTTCAACATGTGGAGACCTTTTGGAAGAGATCCTGGAGCTACCCGAACTAGAAAAAACCAAAGAAATCATGAACATTTTATAAAATACTCCAACACGATATAAAAAGCATAGCTTACCAATAGAATTTCCTGATAAGTTAAGACATCTCAAACTGACAAATGGAGTTAAAGTTGGGACTGTCACCAACCCAAGATTTGCCATGTGTGCAGAAGAAGATGTGGAAGACAAGGAGGACATACAATTGTGAGGTACCTCCATGGCTTGGAAACTTTTAGCATCAGGTTTCCGAGGATCCAATCTAATTTCTGGATTCTCCTTGGAATCACTAGCGGAGGCCTCTCCTGTTTCTTCAACAGTGAAATCACCACGGATATCTATCTGACTTATCCAATGTTCGACTCTCTTCATGCTGAATTCCTCTAGGGTCAATTGATCCCAATCGTAATAAGAAGTTTCCACATCGCTGCTTTGCTTGATCTCGGCATCTTTTGCTTCTAATTTTCTTAATTCATCTGCAAACAAATATAAAAAAAATGATTTCTGAATTGTACGCAGCTTTCTTTAACCAAATCAAACTTCAAGTTCAATATTTACCATTACTATAATGATTGCGAACCATGTCACTTCTAACCAAACTGAGTTCCTCCTCATTTGCATGAAAAGAACATTGTGATTTTGTGCCACCATCAGAAGTTGGCTTCACATAAGGAGAAACAAGAATACTTTTCTCAATGTGGATGCTGGAATCAAAAGATCTTCCCAAATTTTGAAAGTCAGCTCCTAATCTGCTCAAATTATTCAGACCTGAAAAGGAACGAGACCTGTAAAATGCAAGTCTATGGCCTAACGAATCTTCACTGGATTCAGCTACATTAACCTTGAGGTTGGTCACAGAACATGATCTTAGTAAAGTACAAAGTTGTTTGGATGAGCATCCAGAGATGACAATATGATCAGCAGTCTGCGCCGCAATATCAGCATGCTGATCTTTATCAGAATGCTTTAATATTTCAACAGAGAACAGAGATTCATTACGTATGGAACCATTAAGCAAATCATATTCTTTTTGCTTATCATGATTATTGTTTACATCATTTTCATGGCGAATAAACTCAAATGAATCAGTATTACCAAAGGACTCCCTAACCTCCTTCATATTCCAATCATTCAAGTATTCAGGAGAGAAGTCATGATCAACATCAACACCCCCCATGACATCATCACCAGAGAAACCACTAGTTTTCTCCATCATGTTCCCAAGCGAATAACTCTTTTTAATTTGTACAGTCCGGTTTACTACATCGTTATCCTCGGTATGCTTAGCATTGAGATCTTCTGCTTGCCAGCAATCCTTCTTAAAACATGGAGATATATTTTGGTCTGCAGTATTACAGCACGAAGTACTGTCAAACATTGGATTTGATTCGATAGATCCTGTAGAAAGCTTTATTGATTGATCCTCAGTAACACATCTACAATCCGCAAGCAGATTCTCGACAGAGTGTTGAACTACTTTCTGGGGAAATGAAAAGATCGCTATGTTCAGAATCTGGAGGTATTTGAACTTGAACATAATAACAGAGTAATAAGAAAATCTAGCATACCTTTGATCTGTTGACAGGAGTGGAGAAGCAGGAGAACCTAACCATCATAATTAAATAAAAGGAAAAAACTTCAAGCAAGTCAGTTTGTTTATTTTCTTGAAAATTGATAACGAATAACCAGATTCACATTAACCATAATCAAGCGAGCATCCCTCAAAAACACGGCAGAGTCTCCAAACACTGGATGACTTTGAACTCAATGGGAAGAAGGTAATCAACCACACATTATGGTCCCACACCCACTCGGAGGTGCAACAATGATATAATTCTTCTACAGCGGCCAGACTGAAAAGAGAACTTGATCAGCTGGAGGGATAAAATGCCAATGACATAGATACAGTGCAGGCCTGCAATATTTATTGGTAAGTTAACATTTAGGAAAAATAGAAAAGAAGCATGTCATTCATATATTGATCAGCATAAACAAAAATATATTAGCTTCACTTCATAAGGTGACACTTGGAAAAAATAAAATAAAATAAAATCAACCGTTTTAATATGTAAATACATGCCACAAAAAAGAAAATAATTGAAACAAAGAAACTAGCGCAATAAAATGAATATCATATATGCAGGTATTATATGATACAATATGTCATGTAATCAATAGAATTTAAATCACATCAATTAAAAAAAAAAATTAACAGGTATAATGATATATGTTTAATAACAGTAATTTTCAACAATCTAAAAGCCAAAAAAATCGTCATAAATAATGAAGTGATAAAAGAATACTTAAAAATCTAAAGTAGTTATAAAATTACGCGGCTAGTTAGAGAACAAGAGGTTGTATCATTTGTTCTCGTAGGTAAAGATCAAGCGTGGAGGTGGTCTACGGCGTGAGAAAGTATAAATATGAGGCGTGAAGAAGCATTCTCAAGAAGGAGCTTGTTAACAATAAGTTGCTCGCTCCAACAACACAAATCATTGCAAAGTGCAAGAGAAACTAGCATACAAGAGAATAATAATAATAACCACAAAGACAAAAAATTACTCTATGTTTAGAGCGTTGAGAATAAATGAGCAACGACAACTTAATGACTGAGGTTGCAAACGAACCGGCCATGTCGAACAAGGCTAATCAAGCTTGGGTTTGTTTATAAAATTCGAGCTCAAGTCGAGCTCAAATCGAGCTTTTGGAATTGTGTTCAAGCTTGATGTTGTTTATAAAATTTGAGCTCGAGCTACAAACGCACCAAGTCGAGTCAAACAGGGTTGTGATGAAGCTTGAGCTTGTTTATAAAATTCAAGTTCAAATCGAGCTTTTGGGACTATTTTCAATCTTGAGTTTGTTTATAAAATTTGAGTTCGAGCTCGAGTTTTGTGTTTATGTTCAAGCTTAGTTCCTGTTTGAGTTTTATTTTTGTTCATTTCATATGATGATAATCAATTAATTATCAAAAGACCTAAAAAATAAACTATCGAGCTACTTAATTGCTATCCAAACAACTTTTATTGAGCAAATTAAAATTAACCTTATCATGTTATTACTTTTCTAATCAAATAAGACTTATCGAACAAAACCATTAGTATAATTAAACTATTTATGTTCTAATCATACGAGCTTTATTTAGCTTATAAAAGAGTTATTTATTGAACTTACAAAAATAAATGAGCTTATAAATGAATGAACTATTAAATAAATAATTACAATTAGCTTATGAGCATAAAATAAGTGAACAATTAAACAAATAAATCTTTATCTTGTTCTATGTACTACAAATTAAAATTTAATTTAAAATAAATAAGTTTCAAATAAGCTTTAATTGAGCTTATTCACAAAGTTAAATTAAGTTTTAATCAATTTTATTCATAAGTATTAAATCGATTTTATTTATAAATTTTAAATGAAGTTGTTAACGAGCTTCTTACCGACTATGTTGACGAGCTTTAAATGACATTATTCACGAACATAAATGAATCGAACAAGGATGTGTTCAAACTTGTTTAATTAATAATCGAGCATTTTAAAAAATGTTCAAATTTGTTCAATTAATTAATCAAACGAATATGAATGAGCTCTTATTGAGCCGAGTTACGAGTAGCATGTCAAATGATTGGTTCATTTGTAGCTCTATTAATGACTGAGAAAAAGTGAGAACGACACTCGTGCCTCAAGTTTATGTGAATGTGCTAATTCGTATCATGAAATTTGCAATCAAGATTTCACTATGATTTGGAGTCGGGCACATAACACTACACAATGAAGCATCATGACACACTTTACTACACGTTTTCCCTTCACAAGACAAAACTATGCAGGGCGAGGGAATTTCACTATGATTTGGAGTCGGGCACAAAACACTACACAATGAAGCATCATGACACGCTTTCCCTTCACAAGACAAAACTATGCAGGGCGAGGGCATCAATTAGCTTCGATACTAAATAATGCTTTGAAGCACAATTTCAATAACCTTAGTTCATTTTGTGTGCCATTGCGAAGCAACATATGCCACATAGCAATTGACCAGAAATTATTATTTTTAATTTCTTAGAGCAGCTATTCATGATCATTTAACTAATTAAAGCATTCTCAGGCTCTCAACCACTGAAAAAATAATATATTTTTTCACGTTTCATTTGGACCTGACTGCCAACTAGACCAATCTTCACCTCAAACAGGGCAGCCCTCGCCCACACTGATTCTGCCCATCAACTGGGATATCTTCTATAATAGACCTAGCTCTTCAGAAGAACAAGGTCAAATAGCTGATGTTCTGAAAAATTACTATGGATTCTCAATTTTCATCATCTTAAACCAAGGCAAGTACGCAGACTGTAGGCAGAAACTTAACATGAACATTGTAGGTGTAGAAACTATCTGAATATTTTTGTTATTTGGAATGCATAGAACTTTTGAAACTCTTATAATGGACTTTCAATTAAGTAATAACCCAGATTATCAGGCCACTAAGCCAGCAACCTGGCAAATATAATCCCATAAAAAGATCAAAGCTGATCTACAAAATGAGTGAAAAAAGATTTTACTTACAATGAATTAAGTAGTTGAATCGAGAGGGGGAAAAAATGCCAGGATTGTGCAAAATATGCAACCAAGTAAACAATCTGAAGCGAGCAAACAGTTTGTATCGTTCAGAAAGAAATTCACCACTGCAGCCTTATCACAAATGCAATTATGGCTACACTTCTTTTGTTTCATCACAACTAAAATCACAGTGCAACCCATGGTATGTTCAGTGAATACAAATAATTTCTTAAGGGATCCATTGTTGTTTTCCTACACATATACATAGCAAAAAAGGTATAAATGGTAGTCTTTTTCTCATTATTAGATACACGCAAATGGCTTTGCAGTTCAAAATCCACAAAGATACTCATTGCAATACTGAATACTGAATTATTTTCAATGAATTGTTACAACTAGGGTAAATGAAATTTGATGGATCTTTTTCCTATATACTAAAGACTATACAAATATATATGTATGAATATAGATATCATTTGGATTTATTTATGTCTATAGATCTATTTAAGTGATTCCTTTGATTCTTGGTCCATCCAGATGATAAAAAGTAATAATTCCCAACATAAATAAAGAATAATTTCAATTATGTTACACCAAACATTTAAAAAATGCAAGAGAAGAACATGCTATGAATTAAAAAAAATCCTAAAGTGAATATATCAAGAATATATAAAATATATAAGAGTTAAGGATAAAATTATTAACTTCCTTAGTTGAACGTTCTTAAAGAGTTTGTGCATGCATATTAAAAGGCCTATTGAAGGAGCATGCCTTTTCATGCGGAAAAATGGCTAGTATACAATTATGTTCCTATAGGATGGTCACAAACATGAGGTGGACTGGTTCCAACTCATTTTTATCGAAGGGGCCACATAAATTAGATTTAATAATCCCTTAATATTTTTCAATGGTAAAAATGACCGAGATAAATAGAGAACAAAACATTTTATAAACTTGGAACTGGATTTAAAAAGGAAAAGGAAAAAAAAAAGTACGACATGTCATCATATTCCTTAACTTGAGTATACTTTCCTATTTTTTTAAGGTTTTGAGTAGACATTTAATTTTCCTAGAGCTAAGGAAGTCTCATAGCATGTACTACAAGTGCATCTACTTCCCTTTTACTATGAACAAAGACAATACCGGGAAAAATATTGCACTACAATTAATTCTAAGAGTTCTCTAAAAGCCTATTTTATGTCTCATCAAGTTGCAAATTAGCAAATAAATGTTCTAATAGATATTTATATTTGATATAGAGAAAGAGGATAAAATTAACTAGTTCATGAACTTGATGAAAAGATTAGTGATTCCAATGAAGCATTGACTGAAAATTCCTTAATTATATAATGTATCATTACCACATCTAAAATTGAATTTGAACTTCTATATTTCAAACTTATTGCAATTATGACGATAAATTTTACAACAATGTTTTACGTGGGAGTTGTACAAATATTATGGCAAAGTTATTATTAATTACATGAAATGAATTGCACCCAAAATAATAAAAAATAACATTTAGCATGGAAGAATACAATTTCTACGACATTTTAGTGCCTGTTAGACTTGCTACATATAGTAATAAATTTATGAAGATGTTTTAACTATAGATGTCACACATCGTTCTAGGTTGATTGTATTTATCTGAGTTAAGACACAACTTACTTTAGGAATTCTAATACTTAGTGTTAAAAAATATATATTAAGAATACACTTGTATTCAAAAACCTAATAAATCATAGCCTTGCATTCAACTTCAACAATTAGATCAAGCTACAAACATTTGCTTCTTTTTTTTCATAGGATATGAAATTTCCACCCAAAGATGTAATTTCCTGAAGTAGATTTTTGATCCTCTATGGACAACATAATCTAAATCGAAAAAAAAATCCATCATCAAACGATTATATTTTAATGGACTAAACATTTCCCCAAATATTTGTTGGTATATCTTAAAATTCTAAGAATAGCCTCCCAGTATATATTCTTTTAATTGTGTATATGTTGACTAAACCAATAATAAATAATGTCAAGTAGAGTGAATGATAGATAGATAAACTTGTCAATAAGATGTTGATAATAAGAAGGATCTCCGTAGCGTTGATCATCCTTGATTGATTGCTTTTCATAAGAAAGTTAGTAGACTTACACAAAATAAAAGATTTCTTCAAGAGAGTTTGTATTTTTTTTTAAGAAAAATGCTTCCTAATCATTTACAATTTGATACCATAAAAATTTTTTAAATCTAGCAAATATTTAGTGATAAATATTTTCTTCAAACATTATTTTATTTTAGTGATGTCAAATAAATCACTTATAGCGAGAAGGATATCATCAACATAAATAATCATAATC